TACACAGCGTTGGTTGCTGGTTTTGAGAAAGACCACCCTGTAGCTGAAGGAGAATTACAGGAAATCAAAAATCACATCCATGTGAGTATGAAGCATTTCCAGTTTCTGTTTTGCCTTTGTCTGGAGTTTTTGACAAAAGAGCAGGCAAACTCTTCTTTGAATAAGAAAAAAAGAATTTCACCTTAAAATTTTTTATCAAATGCCAGTGTCATCCATTTATTCCTCAGTGCCTTATGTTTATGTTACCTTTGTATCTTCAGTAAGTAAAGGAAAACTCTAACTTGTAAGGTATCTGATGGTCTTCCTTAGGTGTCTACCATGGCTGAAAGCCCTTCGCCATTGTTGGGGGAGGGATCCTGGAAGGCAAGGCCAGCGTGAATCTCTGAAAATGATGATTTATTTTGACTGAAGATTCCTCTGTACTGGAAAGATGCTTCTCTTGATTATAAATCTGCTTCAGAATTAACACTGCCTTAATATTACCTATGGAAATAGAAGAGAATCCTGTGATTCTCTAAGAAGTAAGAAACTTAAGAACAAAGGTATAGAACAAAAAGCAAAAGAATGCAGGCAAAAGAAAAATGGGAGTGACGGAGAATCATTTGGTCCCTTATTATATGCTAGAACACTGTAAATACGGCATAGGATCTCCTACATATATTAGACTCACTCTTCACATTCTTGATGGTCATAACTTCATAGCCAACATTTTTGTCGGATTGGGTCATCAAATACTGTGCTCACATAAGGAGTAACATGGAGAGCATTTCTCTACTGACCATGCGACGGAGGAAGATATCAGATACCTTCAAAATAGCCTTTAGAGAGTATTTGGGAAATGTTGAGCAGGATATCACATGGCACATTTTCTATCAGTTAGCCCTGGAAAATTTGGGGGGACTTTAAACCTTTCCTGTGCACCAAATGGGTAAATAGCCATTAGCGTTCATATATTAAACTACAATAATGAATCATTGCTTCAGAGTAATCAAGGAACAAAGAGTCTCATGATCAGAACTGAAGGCTTTGGAGAGTGGACAGGAAGCCTAAAACCAGGTGGTGGGTGTTAGTGAGACACCTAAGAATATGTTTTTGATACATAGAATGTAAAAGTGCTCTAAATAAAATCAAGGAACTTGCAGCATTTGATATCCCTCTTTTATAGAGATGCAAACAAGTCGTTAAGAAAATGGTAAGCAGAGTAGAAATAACACTACCCTCTGCACTCAAGTGAGGGTGATACCAGGCAGTTTTGCCGGTGCAACACTTAGTCGCAGACTCATAATTCAAGGAGTACTTCAGAATATCCTCTAACCATGCCTTTCTTCTGGGAACAATTACTCTACACCATCCTAAAATGTGAGGGAAAAATTTTTCTTTGTCTCCCTTTCTCTTTTTCTCAAAGGTTCTTCTGTCAATAAGATTCCTTTAACATTCAAATCACCTTTCTGGGTTCCACAGGTTCTATTCAGCAAGGAAATCTTAAATATACATAACTTAGCTTTTCAGATAATTAAGAACAATAAAAAATTAATGGGAAGGTAGGAAAGAAAAACAGTACTTTTCTTCATGTGTGACCTGAGATGAATCCAAGTCATAAATATAAATGGAACATCTTAGTTCCCAGTTTCAAAATAAATAGAAGAAAGCTAAAAGCATAGACTATGAAAACCCATGATAAAGAACCCTGTAATTGTTCCAAATTGATGGCCCAAATGTAAGTGACTTAGGGATATTTGTTTAAATACAAATTCACAGACCCTGTAGAAGATTTGCCCATCAGAAGGGAGGTGGAGAGGAGGGACTAAATATATGCATTAAAAAAAATAGGTAATAGAAATGAATTACAGTTAAAAAATCACTGAATGGGGATGCCTGGGTGGCTCAGTTGGTTAAGCTGCTGCCTTCAGCTCAGGGTCCTGGGATCAAGTCCTACATCGGGCTCCTTGCTCCTCTCTCTGCCTCTGCCTGCCACTTCTCCTGCTTGTGCTCAGTCTCTCTCTCTCTCTCTCTCTCTCACTTTCTGACAAATAAATAAATGAATAAGATCTTTAAAAATCACTGAATGACATCAAGTAATGTAGAACATTTTCATATTACATGGGAAAATATGAGTTTATAAAATCATCAAATAATATACTTTCTCCTTTAAGCAGAGCATGGCATCAGGACCTTCAGCCCCAGTAGAGTGATTGAAAGGTGCCAAGCATAGATGTATTTCAGTGCACATCTCTTACATCTTTGGATGTAAAGGATGTCTTCCTTTGTCCTTAACTGGTGATGTATTTTCCTTTCTCAAGATTTAGTTACCTAAGGATGGATGGATGGATAGAGAGATGACAAATAAGAGTGTGTGTGTGTGTGTGTGTGTGTGTGTGTGTAAGTAATGACCCTGAAACAGTGCTTCTTACAATGTGGAACTTAGACCACCTGAGCTAGAAGCTAAAAACTTCAGATTTCTGGTTCTTCCATGTTGTTTGTCAATGACAAGATTTCCTTCTTTCTTAAGGCTGAATAATATTTCATTGTGTGTATACTATATTTTCTTTATCAATTCATCTCTCCATGAAGAGATACTGTTTCTGTATCTTAGCTACAATGAAGAATGCTGCAATGAACATGGGAGCACAGATATCTCTTTGACATAATGATTTCATTTCCTATGAGTATATACCCAGAAGAGGGACTGCTGGATCATATGATAGATCTATTTTTAATCTTTTGAGAAATCCCCAGATTGTTTTCTGTAGTGGCTGAGTCAACTTATACTCCCACAAACACTGTATGTGTTTTCTTTTCTCCACAACCTTACCAACACTTACCTCCTAACATTTTTTTTTTTTTTTTTTTTTAAAGATTTTATTTATTTGTCAGAGAGAGAGGGAGAGAGAGCGAGCACAGGCAGAGGCAGAGGGAGAAGCAGGCTCCCTGCCGAGCAAGGAGCCCGATGCGGGACTCGATCCCAGGACGCTGGGATCATGACCTGAGCCGAAGGCAGCTGCTTAACCAACTGAGCCACCCAGGCGTCCCACCTCCTAACTTTTTGATAAGAGCCATTCTAACACATGTAAAGTGATAATTCATTATGTTTTGGTTTGTATTTCCCTAATGACTAGTGATGTCGAGCTCCCTTTCATATACTTGAAATAAAAATCCTCACCATATGAGGTGGTGAATAATATGTTAATTAGCTTGACTGTGGTACTCATTTCACAATATCTACACACATCAGAACATTCTGTTGTACACCTTAAATCTATACAATTTTTATTTGTCAATTAAGCCTCCATTAAGCTGAAAAAAAATTTAGATTTCTGGACCATACCTCAGATGTACCAAGTCAAAATTCCTAGAGATGAGGCATAATAATTTCCACTTTCTGCAAGTTCCCCAGGTGATTCTCCCGCACACCACAATTTCAGAAACACTGGGGTAAGATATCTCTCTGAGCTCTCTTTAAACACATATTTTATATAACTCCATCATTCTAAAATGATCAAATAGACACCTTCTAGTTTAAATATGACTCTGTAATTCTTGAAAAAAAGTCTCTTTTCCTATTCTAATATGCATGTTTGATTAAAGTATAATTCTCAGCATGAATTAATATGTAGCTGCTAGAAAGTTTCAAACGAGATTTTATTGGCTATCACAGTAGTCTACTGGGGAAGAATCTACCAAGTAAATCCTTGAACAAGATGTTTTTTGAATTTTTTAAAAGACATATGTTTTGGGTAAAATATGGTGGAGAAAATACTCTCTTCTAAAGTAATCTCTCCAAATAGCCTTTACGTTTTTAGCTACGAGACAAATCAGAGGCACTATAGACATGTGCAGATATTCAATAAAGGTGCAGGGTTAAGCCAAATCCTGCTATCACTAAGAATATTTGTACTATACATAAAATGTTTTCAACAGGAGGATTGAGACATTTTTGACTTGGCTTATGAAAGGAATATAGCTCTTTTCTCTAAAGGAGCCGGAGAAAGGCTAATATATCTTCAGAAACACTTCTTTATAGTTACTTTTTCCCCATGTTTATGAAAAGTTACTCATATCTTTAAAGAGTAAAACTCACTACCTGGTATCAATTGTACAAAGTTTATGAAGCTTTCCGTCATTGTTTCTTACTTGGAGTTTCTAAGCTGTAAAATAAATACCATAGGTGTTTTGATATAAGGGAATAATCCCTCCCCCTAAAAGACTCTCAGGCTCCCAAAATATGTCTATAGCTATTCTATTACTTGAGGCCTCAGAATTTTTTCGTAGGAAACATGGTATTTTTTTTTCTATATTCTTGCATCACCGGGAAAGGGAACACAGTGGGTTTCACTTGTACTAACATGGAAATAACTGGAAAAGCCTCCTGATAATGTTGGGTTTCCTTGAGGAGGGGAAGGAGCAGTGAAATGAGAAACACCAAGAACTGAATGGTGCCCCACTGGCCCAAGGATTGGAGGTAGATACCAGAAGTAAAAGATGAAGACAGACTTTTTTCCCCCCTTCACTAGTAGCCCCCTCTTGCCTGTTTATCACACCAGATCAAGGATTATTTTCTTTCTTATTGCTTCTAAAGCCCACATGAGGAAAACAAACCCATCTCCCTCTACACTCAGTGTAACAGAAACGTGCACACACCAAGAAAAGAAACTCTGCTCAGGTGAGAGTATTCTGCTGATTGAGACAAGTTTATTGAGAATTCAACACGCACATCCATAACTTTATCAAGAGTCATGAGCATGGTGAAAAATTCAGAAGAAATACGTCGTTGGGCGTCAAGTTTCTGAAAATGTCTCAAAGAACATCATCCAGGGAAGGCAGCTGGAGGCATCATCGGCTTTTTCGTTTCCTTCCTTCTGGACTCTGGAGCTAGGTCTGAGAAGCGGTGACTGGTACATCATGGAGCAAAGGAGGACTAAAGAAGGAAGTAAAGGAGAGACGTGGAGGGGCGCCTTTCAGCCTTGGTAGAGAAGATTCTACGCCTTGGCAATTTCAACAGATCAGTAGAGATCAAATGGCCAGTATCTTCTGTAGCCAAAGGCCCCACAGCCATTGTAGCCATAACCGAAGCCATAGCCCACTGGGGAGTAGGTGCTGCCGTAGCCACAGCCCACGCTGTACCCCAAGGGGTAGCCATAGCTGCCCCAGTAGCATCCTGGGAAGACGGCACCGGAGAAGTTGTTGCACTGCATGGTGTCAGGAGTGGAGGGCTCAGGTAGCTGGGGAATGTGTCTCCTCTGTGTGATGATTCTCCAGGCTCAGAACCTTCTTTATATACCCTGGCTGTGGGGTGTGGTTAAAAACATGAGGACCTCATTTTCATTCTTGATACCAATTTTCATTCTTGAGACCACAAAAAGCTCGTTAATTTGATCTGCTCTTGTGTTAGATGTCTTTACAGCTGCTTAAGAAAGCTCTCACGTCATAGAATACAAGGACAGGATCCCTTCAAAGTATGTCCTTCACTAAAGAAGTATTGCAGTGACTTCAAAGCCCTGGGTCCTATAGACCCTGGATAGAATTCTCTGTAAGCAAGCTTATGAAACCAAGAACTGTTCTGTTAAATCTTATTCAGTTCTCTTGCTCACTGAATTTCCACAACACACAAGGTGGAATTCAATAAATATGTGTTTGAATAAATTAAATGAAGTGATAAAAACATAGTGAGTCCAACTAAAACTCGAGGTATTTCTTAGTATTCACTTGGTTAAAGAATTCTCTTTTTGGTACTGTGCAAGACAAATGCCATAGAGCTCATAGGAAAGTCTCCTTTTTATTTTTTCCCTATCTCTAGCTCCTTTGTCTTAAGGACTGGTTTTAAAATTTATTCTTTATTATAATCCCCACATGAACTATATCTAACATCACATTTTGAGACCACTGCCTGAACTAATAATCTTATAATTGTTAAAAAAAAAATGGAGTTTTTGGATTAAATTTTTTTAAGACTTATTTATTTATTTTAGAGAGAGAGAGAGAGCATGCATGAGTAGGGGGAGGGACAGATGGAGATAATCTTGAAGCAGAGTTCATGCTGAGCAGGGAGTGCAGAGCCCAATGTGGAAATCGATGTGGGGCTTGATCTCAGGACCCTGAGATCATGACCTGAGCCAAAACCAAGAGCCAGCCAGGCCACTTAACCAGCTGTGCCACCCAGGTGCCCCTTGAAATGAATGGTTAAATAAATATGATTTGTTGATCTGGTACCCTTTTTTTTTTTTTTTTTTGAGAATTATATACACTTTACTTGGTATACACTCATAAAACATTTGATAGAGACAAATAGTTTTTTCTGAAACCAATTTCAGAACCCAGATCTTTCTCACTCTGGAACTGGTGATAATCCTTACCTGTTGGGTCCCTGTGGGAAATCTCAGTTGTCTGGCATTGGTTCTGAGGATCTAATGAGTATCTCTTCATTGTGTCCCACATCACCTCATTTTGGGCTAATCTGCACATGGTTGCCACATTCTTGTTTCAAGACTTACTAATCACAAAGTTTTGTTTCTCCTTATATGATGGTACCTCATCAAGGTACCATCTTTGACAATGGTGTCTTTGTTAATTCATTTCTTTTGGATGCCTCTGCTTTCTTAATCTTTTTTTTTTTAATTTTATTTTTTATAAACATATAATATATTTTTATCCCCAGGGGTACAGGTCTGTGAATCGTCAGGTTTACACACTTCACAGCACTCACCATAGCACATACCCTCCCCAGTGTCCATAACCCCACCCCTCCTACCCCTCTCCCCCCATCAACCCTCAGATGGGATTGGGAGGGAGACAAACCATAAGTGAATCTTGATCTGGTACCCTTTTAAAAATAAATATTGAAAACAGCTATAGAGGGGGTGCCTGCGTGGCTCAGATGGTTAAGTGTCTGCCTTTGGATCAGGTCATGATTTTGGGGTCCTTGGATCATGCCCTACATCAGGCTCCTGGCTCAGCAGGGAGCTTGCTCCTCCCTCTCCCTCTGCCTCTCCCCCTGCTCATGCTCTCTCTCTCTCTGTATCTCTGTGTCTCAAATGAATAAACAAAATCTTAAAAAAAAAAAGAAGGAAAGAAAATAATAACAAAGTAAAAAACAGAAAAATGAATGGCAAGTTTTATTCTGAAATGTATATATATATATATTTTTTTTTTCTGGATCTAATAAAAGCAGATTATCTGACAAATGTGACAATCTTGTGAAGGGCCAGGTGGCATATTAAGTCAGCATTTCACTCCTCACACCCCAGGAGTGAGAAGGAAAGCCATTCCTCTCTAAATAGAAATTTAGTTCTCAAAACCGGAGTGAAAGAATGGACAAGATTGATCAAAATTACTTTGGGTCATGCAAGACCTAATAAACTATTCCAGACATTTGCACTGAGATTGCCCAGAATGGCACTTGGTAGAAAACTTACAGAATATACCGCAGAAGAGGACACATGGCACAGAAACAGAAAGGCACAGAGCTATAACAATTCATTCTTAGAAGGCCATGGGAAGAATATGTATTACATGCTGGACCCCAAAATTTTGTAGATCCCTGTATAGGTCCCAGAGGTAGATTTCCTCCCTATCACCAGCAACTAAGACCTAAATATCTGGGAGTACACAGAAGTCACAGGTTGAATCCAAGGCAAGGTGAGACACCCAGAAAAATATAAAACCATGCAGCATTCTAACCACTAATTGATTAATTACAGGAGAGGCATTTTTGAAAATACACGGTGCTACGTTACCATCTTTTTTTAAGAACAAAGCGCCATGACCACCTAGGTTGACTCAGCACTTACAATTCAAACACTTCATGTGACTTACAGCTAAATAAGGTCAGGGAATTAAAACTGGCTTTGCTCCTAAAATATAAAGGTATTCAAGAGTAGGTCTTCCCCTGAAAAAAAAAAAAATATCACAGAATGATTAACACTATGTCTTACTCTCATCACATTGCTCTGCTCCATAAAGAAAACAAAACAAAACAAAACAAAACAAAAGTAGCATTATACAGTGGGATGGAAAAAGATTTGCCAAAATCTTTTCTAATGCTCTGTTGAAATGAGTTTCTCCCTCACCTGACTACCCAATCTGGCAAGATGTTAGCTATGCCCTCCATGGTACAATACCCAGCTCTGTATCTGAGTAGTAATGGTAAATAAAAATTAAAATATGACATCTTTTTAAAAACTTAGGACCTTGGGGTGCATGGGTGGCTCAGGCAGTTAAGCAGCTGCCTTATGCTCAGATCATGATCCTGGGGTCCTGGGATCAAGCCCTGCTTTGTCAAGCTCCCGGTTCAGCCAGGAGTCTGCTTCTCCCTCTCTCTCTGCCCCTCCCTGCTTCTCGTGTGCTCCCTTTCTTTATGTCTCCCTCTCTCTCAAATAAATAAATAAAATCTTTTTAAAAATGTTTAAAAATTAAAAAAAACCTTAGGCCTTTTCATAGCAAACATCCTGAATTTTCTCTAGAACGTCTACAAAAAAATCCCAACACAGAAAACTTTCAGGGAGACACATTATCAACAAGTCATTTAAAAACAACTGATGTGGGATAGATTAAAATTGTCATGATCTGGCAGAGGAAGGAGTTATTTGTGTTCTCTTTCTTTATGAAGCGGCTGAATAGGAAAAAATAAAACAAAGAAAAGAAAAGAGAAAAGAAAAGAAAGTAATAATAAAATAAAATAAAAATGAAAAACAAAAACATAGCTAATAGCTAGCTTAATCTTGCATTGGTTCTATGAAAGCTATATTCTTACATAGGTATATCTAGGGAAGATCTAGGTTTTGTAAAGCGTGCAGTTTATACAATGTTGAGAACCCTCTTTAAGAAAAAGAACATAATATAAAAATATAAAATCAAATACAAAATTAAATATTTGTTGAATGCTAAAAGAAATCAAAAAATTAAACTCTAACAAAAATCATAAATATTACAAAATTCCAAAAGGAGTATTTTTACTACTTAACTGCTTGTCATAATTCCATAATATTTTTTCCATAGATTAGCTTCTGACTCCATCATTTCAAACTATTTTCTCTACTATTCATCCTGTGCTGAATGCCATGGGGCAAATTCATACTGACATGTGACCTCTTATCCTACATCTTCATATCAAAAACTTTGTGTAAATTAGGGGAGTAGATGGTAAAGAATTCCTGGAAGCCATCCCCATACAAGGATAGCTCAAAATAGCCTAATGAGACACAGAAGTGACTGCAAACCACACTCCGAATCTATTCCTCCATATCCAAATTAAATGTATCTCCTTGTCAACTTGTCCTTAAGCCAAATGCCAAAAGACCCATGGCCCTCCAGAACCTCCCAACATGAGGGAAAGTGTGAGGTAGGGAACCCCTGGTAGAAAGCAAAAAATGTCTAAACCAAATGCAGTAAAAATGTCTTGCTTTTGTGAGTTCCTCAAAAAAACAGGATCATGTGACATGGAGGTTTGATAAAAAGAAAAATATTATATTGTCGCATGAAAAATGACTCAGTACTAGACTAATCATTACTGGATACTTATTGGTTTGGATAAAGTTCATGACCCCTTTCTTTTTTAATAACATCTTAAGATATTATTTAATAAATTACTTGATTTCTCCTTTTGTATTTCTTTGATTTAAATAAGGTCTGACATGAATAAAGATAGAAGAAAGTCCTGCTCTTTGATTTTCTACAAAGGAGCAAGAACCATAGTGTGTACAGATCTTAGAAATAGAGTCAATTCCAGCATGCACAGAAAGATAGTTCTTGTCTTGTAAGCATCACAGATAAAGTTTCTAGCTTCAAAATATTATAATTCATTAGTAATGAGAGAGAAGTTACAAGGGAATGTTTTAAATGAGTTTTAAAATATTCATCTGTGGTTACTCTGTAATACAAAAATGATCTTTCCATTTATCTTTTCAAAAATTTATTCTTAAAGATATTTATTAGACATCTGCTGTGTTTCAGGTATGTTGTTAGGTTGTAGCAATCTGAAGATGAATAAGAAATAGTAATTAAAAGAAAAATGATAAATAAATAAATAAACAAGTTTACCCATTCTACCCTGCAAGTCCATATTGCCTTCTGCAGACTTCAGGGATGATGGAGAGAATGAACAAGTCTACTTGAACTCGGGGTAGTGGCCATGGAAAACTTCACTATGGAAAGGATAAATATTTGAACTGGGTCTTGAAAATGGGTGAGTATTGGTTAG